CCTGAGTTATCTTTAGTGATCAATAGCATCTCTCTCTAACAACGTTCAAAAAATGTTGCGAAAGAGTAAAAACAACATTCAAACATTAATATTGCAAAAACTTGAAAATAAAAGTACGGACAACATTTTTCGACGTCGTAAATAGGCTAAGGCAATGTTGAAAGAATGTTACAGATAGGTTTTTTGCAACGTTTCTAAAACGTTGCGAAAAGATTATTAGCAACAGTTGTAAAACGTTGCAAAAAGATTATTAGCAACAGCTGAAAAATATTGCGAAAAAGTTATTGGCAACGGTCAAAAAATGTTGCTAAAAGGGTATTGACAACTTTCAAAAAAGGTTGTAACAAGTTGTTGACAATGTTAAAAAAACGTTGTTGTGTCCTTCCACTCTACGACAATATCAAAGTTTGCAACATATATCCAAACATTGCAAAAGGTTTTCGGCTACGTTTTTTGAACTTTGCAAAAGGCCCTTTTTTTTTTTTTTTGTTGTAGTGTCCATATTGTAACTATCCTCCAAACTTTAACATTGCCCTTCTCAAAGTAGTACGACTCACCTTCATCTTCTCCATTCCAACTCAAAATATATATTTCAATATATTCGTCATGCCTAATCACAAACTCAATTTTTAGCAAACAATGAACTAGGGTGTTTGTATGATATTTCTATCTTCTTTGAATGCTGCTAGTTTGGTTGGCCCCATTATTATTAATTCTTTGTTCTCTTCATAATCTTATCTTTTTGTTATTGTTTTTCGAATTAAATTACTAATCTATTATCCAAAATTTCGAGCAGCTGCACAAGAAAATTTTCATGAGAAGGTTACCTTTCTTAAAGAGGATTAGAGTGATTTTTTTCAATATTTTGACAATCTGACCAATAAAGATTTGGGTGTTGCTCCCGACTTAAATTGTATATTTGCTTATACGGATTCAACTGTTCATCATGTACTTAGTATTCCGGTAATGCTAACAGTAATCCCAAATTATCCTCATCAACTTCATCTATGCCTTTTACTTGAAAACCTAGTAGTTCCCATAGTACTCCCAAATGCAAGTCATCCTTATCAATTTTATCAAGTGCATCATACCCCTTCATTTTTAAGCGCGGTAGGACAAAGATATCCCCCATAGGCATGTCATCTTCATCAATTTAGGGATCTCTCTTCTCATATTTTTATTGTGCAATTACTTTTGTTTCCCACACTGAAAACAAAGGAAACAAGTAGATCAGTTGAAAAAAAAAATTAATCAAGGCTAGAGTTAACAATAAAAATTAAAGTAAATAAATCAGTCTTTGACAATAGCATAAAAAACTAGATCAAATGATTCCACAAGTGTATGGATTATAAGAAATAATAATAGTGGAATTCATGAGTCCAAATATCGTCCTACAAAGACTAAGTAGTTACTATCAAGTTTTATCGTAAATTTAGCTTCAATATAAGTTAATGTGGTGACCTATTAATAAATCAAGAGCTAAGATTTTAACTAATTTATACTAAATCCCTGTTTAATGGAATTAAAATCAGAATTTTAATAGATTTTAATAAAAATTGATGAGATGTATAATTGAAAAGTCATGGATCTGATGAAAAGTATAGTTAAAATGAATTGTTGACTTTTATTTAGTCAATACTGAATAAGGGTTAAGCTAATCTAAGATACCTAACTAATTTAATTGGTGGAGAGCTTCGGGATTAAGTGGTTGATTTCACATAGGCCATTTAAAATTCATTCAATCCAAACTTATTTATTCACTTTTTCATATGTATTAACAATTGAGTTAAACAATTTTAGTTAGTAACCTCTCTCGAACAAAACCAACCCAATTCACGTACCCAAATTCATTATATCTCTATATAAATGCATATATATGGAAAAGCATTAGTTCATATGAATTCACATAAGCTATAATCATCTATCAATCTCATAAAAATTATGTCACCTATTACATGAACTAGACAAATATATCTCTTCTTGATCTCAATATTATCCTTAAATCAAATAATTGGTGATCAAGAAATTGAATGCTAGTTAAACACAATAAGCAATCAAAACATAATCAAAATTGCATGAAATCAATTGTATAAAAAAGGGTTAAATCTAAACTAAATCTTTCACTATAACAACCAATTTTTTAGCCAATCATATAAATAAAATTAAACAACAAAATAATTAAAAAAATCATCAGTTTCAACATCAGGAATAAAGAAAAGAATCTTAACAATTATTGTTCTTTGGCAACCAATTCCTAACAACAGATTTCCAATCTCATGAAGCATGTATATCTCTTGGCTACTTGTATTTTTCAACCTTCAAATCTCAAATTTAGATACAAATCTTGAGGATCCAATCTATTTGGACATGTAATTTTGCCTCAAGATTGTATCTCCAACCTCCCTTTTTAAATAATATGAAAGATTCCTCTTTATAAATCTTAATTTAGGTCTAAAACAGAGACCTAATAGAATAGGGAACCACAATTTTAGTCAAGTAGGATATTTCAAATTACTGGAATTTATATTTTTACTTGTTCAATTTTGTACATGTTTCTTCTTTTTGTTCGAATTGAGTCCTTAAATACTGCATGCGGTCCTTCATCTTCTAAGATATGCCAAACTTTACTCCTTTATGAGCAATTATTATTCATTTTCATTCGTTCTCATCATATTTAAGTATATCAATGATAAAATTAGTCACACATGTAAATTTTGATGGTTATAAAATTAGTCACATCTAAATTTTGATGGTTAATACACTTATCGTTGTTTGTCCTAATTATGGAATTTATCTCCGTCTCTTACTTCTTCGATTGATCCTATTAGCAGCTACTTCGATCCGGTCGAGTAGATTGCTAGTATGCACGTGTCTTCCAATGCTCCTGAATTAGGATTTGCTACGCTCCTGTGTAACTCAAGAATGTTTATCATATATAAACACATAGAGTTGAAGAATGAAATCACATGAAAGAAGAATTAAGATTTAATCTTCAATTTCAAAGTTGAATCATCTAAGCATTGCTTCTTCTTCGTCCTTCCTTGATTAAAAATTAGGTGAGAGAATTGTGTTTGTTTCCCGTCTCTTCTCCAATCGTCCCACTCCTCCTTGTGACATCCTAGACATCTCATAAATATGGATATGTATTTTGGGAGAGCAGATTGACTTGGGGAGCTCTTGTAGGCGAGTTGCTAGCTGGTGGAAAGATTAGCTTTTCCTTGGCCGAGCTCTTCTAGCTATGTTTCATCCATTTTTCACCAATGAACTCCCCCAATATTGTACTTCTCCTCAAGTAGTCTCTGGCCATTGATTTTTACCTATGCTTTTCATAACTTTTTGCCTCTTGTTCAACACTTTATTTACCAACATTGCCTAAGGGAAAATTCATCCTAAAACACGAAAACAAAGCACAAATCAATAGAAATATCGAGTAAAATAAGTGTGGAATTCACAATTATTGTCCTGGGCCTCAGGGGCGGACCCAGACATTTTGAACTGTGGGGTCAAAAATGAAAATTTAAAAGTTTTCGAACAACGTATATTAATGAAAATAAAACCAAATGCTACTACAATTATAGCCTACGTGTTTTCGTATTATGAAAAACATCGTATAATTATATCGTTATCAATATTGTCAATTCATTGCTTTCAATATATGCAACCAAACTATCACTTAACCATTGATCTCCCAAATTGTAAAAAGTCAATTCCATACTTCCATTATTTCATACCAAATCAAAGAATAATGAATATTTAATATTTTCAGCCAATTTCAATTCATCAATTTTAAACATACAAATCCAAATCCTACATTAACACACCTCTTTCAAATTTCACAGTAATATGTAGTCGAGTAGCATTAGGGTCTGACCTATATACCAAGGGCCAAGGGCTGTGTCGTAGAGGTACGGTCGATGGTGGAGGGTGGAGGGCGGACGGCGAAATCGCTAAGAAAAAAAGGGAAAGTCAAAAAGTGGGAGAAAACTTGCTTTTGTTTTGCACTTCGGGAAAATGAGATTTAATTTGAGAATCTTGGAACTAATTATTTAAGTTGGATTGGATAATTGGAATTGGGCAAATTAGAAAATGGATTATGGGAATGGGTTTATATTTATGGAAATGGTCCATATGGATATATATGGTGATTGGATTTGGGTTTGGGAAGTTAATTGGGTTTGGCAATAAGGCAATTGGCACTTGGCAGCCGGGTAGTTGTTAGGTTCTCCAAAAAAAATTATAAAATAATAATAATAATAATAATAATAATAATAATAATAAATAAAAAATTTCCAAAAATCTGTGAGGTCATTTGACCTCACATGACCTCATGTGGGTCCGCCTCTGTTGGGCATGGGCAGCCCACCTCATTTTGACGCCTAATAATTGGTAAGGTGGACTATATGATACTTAAGAAATATTAAGAAATAAAAAGAAGCTAAAATTTGATTTATTGTACCGTCTTCCCAAATTTTATATTACATGCCAAACATCTCCAAAATAATATGAGGAAGTCAGGTGGGCAAGCAAGTCCTATGATACTATTTTATCATATTCACTTACAAATCGATCCAATAGATCGTCTTGGTCGATTTGTTTGTAAGGTCTCCAATTTTCAGCTATACTAAACATTCTTGCTACTCTACTTACAATTAATTGGGGAGATTTTATGTGAGGTAATTACCTAACATTATTTTAAAAGTTTTCCAAACATAGATAAAAAAAAAAAAGAAAAAAAAACACTTACTTTTGTTTAAGCTCAACCAAACATGCCAGAACAATGGCTTATTTGATAAGGTACACTCTATATCACTAGCCAATATTACGAAAAAATTAAAAACTAAAATATGATTTATAATATTATCTAGTCAGATTCAGTATTATGTCTAACACGGGCATTGTGAGTACTGTTTTCACGAGAATCAACTTCGAATTTGCAAGATCATATAGACAAATTTTCAGCTAGATGATGATTTAAATATAATCTTCAAAACTCCCAAACAAATTATCACAACCTAAATTTTTTCGAACATAAAAATATATACAAACATGGTGTGTCTCTCTTTCTCTGACATAAAATTTCATTCTAAATCTTGTTTAGCTAAAGCATTGCGAAAAAGAAAAAAAGTAACAACAGTTAGAACCAGGAAATGTAGCAACGGTCTTTTCTCCGGTCATGATCTTGGCATTGCTGCACTGGAAACACCCAAGTTTAAGTCAATGGAAGTATGATCAGCATTCCCGTGGCTGGTTCCCCGATTACCGCCTGAATGCTCGAGAGTGGGTAGAAGCCATTGTTGAGAATGTTCGGCCATAATTTCTGAGCTGTCAAACGATTGGGACTCTGCCAACGTAGTTGCCCGAGCATGTTTTGTTTCGAAAGTATTCTGCACTGAAAGCCGGCAGACTGGACAAGTAGACTGTTTTCTTAGCCATATATCAATGCAAGAAAGATGAAAACTATGGCCACAGTTCGGCATGATTCTCAGAACTTCTCTCTCTTGATACTCTGCTAAGCATATTGTACACCTACATTTCAAAAGAAACTAACCTTATTTATGATCAACGTCGATTCTGTTTTCACTTGTGTTAAGCACTTCCGAGTAATTTGAAATCCATTGGCAAAGCAACACAAAACAGACTATGATGACATATGTTTACAAGTCACATGTGCACAGATGAAGAAATGCAATCAACCCCAAATTTATAGGAAACAAATCTTGAAATGTTTTAAGAGTAATTAAAACTTTTAAATGATTTTTATATCCAATTGGACAAGTTACTTTTTTTACTTTATATCTGAAAAAAGTTTCTCATTTTGACAGTGAAGTACGAATTACATTCAAATAAAGTAACTAATTATTTCCAACTTAGTTAATTAGCAGAAAACATTCCTATTTTTTACACTAATCGTAGAAATAGTCCCTATTGTTTCAAACTTAGTATTTACACTCTCATTTCAAACATTTCTTGCAGAGTTGGTCTACCGTCATGTTCCGTTAAATCATTATGTAAAATATGGGTAATTGGCGCAAAATGTTTTAATTGTTATCCTTTATAGAGCAAATCATCCATATCTTTTCAATTTTGACATTTGGATACTCAAATTGACATTTCTTTGCGCTTATCATTTATTTTCTCCCATTAAAGGATTATAAAATAACTAATTTACCTCCTCTTTAATAAACAAGTAGAAAATAAAGAAATAATATAAAACAATTGAATATAGAGTTCCAAATTTATAAAAAAAATACAAATTAGTCTCGTGTAAAATAATTTAAAACATTCTAATAAAAAAAAATATTTTTTCTTCCAATTAAACCCTCTACCCCTATCCCTATCCCTAGCCCTACCCCTATCCCTAGCCCTACCCCTAACCTCCACCACAACCACCACCAGTAAAATAATAAAAAATATGATTAAATGTATAAAAACAAAGTAAGAAAAGAATTAAAAACAGAAAAAAATGGAGCGACTTCTGCTACCACCACCCCCCATTCTCCCCATTCCACCATCCAAGAATTTAGCTACTTTCCTGTAATCAAGTTTCGTATTCCATTATCTTTTTGTTTTTAGCGAGTTATGGAAATTTTTTTTTAAGGTATTTTGCTATTTTCAGCAGATTCTTGTTTTTATGTTCTTGTTTCTGATTACATACACATATATCCACTGCGTCACCATCTGAATTTTGTTAAAAATGGAGAAATTCCTATATAAGAGGCTAAAGAAACTTGGATGAGGAATAATCACCATTTTAGGTTTTTTTTTTAATTATTTTTCTTCTGTTTATATACTTTTAATTATTTCGGTGGTGGTGGTGGTGGATGCAAGTGTATGTGGTTTAATTGGAAAGACAAAATATTTTATTTTTGTTAGAATATTTTAAATTATTTTACTTGAGACTCATTTGTACTTTTTTAAAAACTTGAAACTCTAGATGCAATTTTTTATTTTTTTTTATATTATTTCTTTGTTTTCTATTTATTTATTTAAAGAGGTGAGTAAATTTTCCATTTTACAATGCTTTGATGGAAAACAAATGGTAAGAACTTTTTTGAGCAAAAAAAGGTCGATCAGTGCCCAAACGTCAAAATTAAAATGATAAAGACGATTTGTGCAATGAAGACAAACAATAAGGACATTTTGCATCAATTACTCATATTTCACGGAATGATTTAATGGAACATAACAGAAATGACAAACTCTGCAAAAAAGGTTTAAAATGATGGTGGATATGCCAAGTTTGAAACAATAGGGTCTATTTTTGCAATGAGTGTAAATGATAAGGATTTTTTTTCCTAATTACCCGATCAACAAAAAAGTACGTATTAAAACTTCCAAAATGGGCAGAGCCGAAACTTCCATTAACATTCATTCCAAATATTGGAAGCTGCAATCTGATTAGTCTGACTGCCCAAGAGTGTTGCTACTTATCAGCAATATTTTCAGCTTAGACATACAAGCACATAGTTTGTTTGTTTGAGTTTACAAATTCATACAATATGAGATGAGTAATTCAAAGGAATGCTAAATAAGTAAATTTGGTGATTGTACTCACTGCATATCTTCTGTTGAACTGAAAGCCTCACGGTTGAACATCAGTTTGGGAATTGCAGCAACTACACCCGGTTGAAGGCCATTAGCCCGGCGTTCTGGCTGTCATAACAGAACAATGAATTAAATTGAGTGCAATGTGGTTAAATTCTAGATTCTACAATGTTGACAATAGCACGAAATGTATGACGCAGTTCATTTTTTGTATAGTAAGGTAACCGAAAGTACTAAGAACAATATGGGAGGACATGCCAGTCAAGAAAGTGTAAAAGTTATGTAAAGTCAATGCCAGAAAGAATACCAGATTGCAGAAGAAAATAACATGAACATAACTTGTCCATAGTAGCATCAACGGAGAATAGGAAATTTAGAATGAACTACTTCTCGCGTTTCGGATGAGATGACTAGGAAATTGTCTAAAGCAATTTGATGGAAATTCAATTCTAGAAAATCTCAAGTATATGTTCTTTGTCACTGATAAACAATTTATCAAGCAGTACAAAAGCAAAGATTAGTAACATGTTTTTGGCTAGAATGAAGAACACCCATTCATACAAGAACATATTACACAAATAGCATCAATACAAATAGTCCATCTAAAAACCAATGGAGAATCAAGCTTCAGAATTAACCGTTCCTCATGTTTCAGATGAGGTGAAGTGGAAATTGTTCGAATTGTGTAATGACACAGATATTCGACCTCAAGCAATTTCGATATATTCAATACTCATAAGTACAAAGTACATATTCTTTGTTACAATCTGTCAAGCCATGCAAATGCAAGATTAGTAACAGACTAACAGGCTTTCGTCTAGAATGAAGAAAGCACGACTTGTATAAGAACAATTTGCACAAAAGTGTCATCATAACTCATCCCTAGAAGTATTCCTCATGTTTCAGATAAATTTTCCACTGTGTAATGAAACTGAATCAACTGATAACTGACTTTGAGCAATTTGATTAATTCAATTCAAGACACTAATAAGTACAAAGTTTATATTCTTCCATCATTGATAAACAATTCGTCGAGCACTACAAATGCAAAGATTAGTAACTTGAAAATTAGTCAAATCAATTAATTTAAACATACCATCTGAAGATCAATCCTTGAGTCAATCTCAAACATTTCCCCAGATTCTATTCGCCGGAGCCTCCCACAAATGAGTCGAGTGCAGACAAAAACAATAAAAGTTGCACTCATTCCAAATCCAATAATTATTGTAATCAGATTCATTCCAGAGCCACCAAACATGTGGAGAAATCCAAACTCTTCAACTCCAATCTCGACAATAAATCAAGATAAAAATCAACAAAATAGAAAACAGAAATAAATTCCCAGTTCAAGAAATGAGAATCCCTCAATCAAGAATGAATCTCAAATTGCAGTTCAATATCCCATGTCAAGAATTTCCAAGAAATGGGAAAATTTGTTTTTCTGTGTGGAAATCATTGATAATACAATCACTCATGACTAGAAAAAAACGACAAAAATAAAAGTCAAATCCATGACAATAATTAAACCAAAACTTATATAAATAAATAACCCTCCAAAAAAAAAAAAAGATCAAATTTCTACAAATAATGAGAGATTTACAGAGAAATGTTCAAAGAAAAAGACTGGTGCAGCCCAAACGGAATCCTAATCCTAATCCCTTTAAGTGAATTACCAATAAGATGACCATAAATGGATGGTGTGGATTAAAATGAATAAACTCTTGCATTTTCTTTGGCTTCTGCATTTGGACTTGCATTTTGAGTGGGGTCTACCTCAATCTGGGACCCTTCTCTTATAGGAGTTTTTATATACAACCGTTGAGGATAGACATGATTGGAATTTGGCGGCTAGAGGAAGAAATTATTTCAAACAGTGAAAATGGATTCTGCTGGATTCTCTGTTAAAGAATGATACAGACTCTACGGATTCCTTTACTTTGATTTGCTGTTCTTTTCCCATCTTCTACTTTTGGAGAAGTCCTAAGTTTTGTATATTTCATTTTATTCTGCTCAAATTTGATTATTTTTGTCAAACTAAAACTAATTTTAAGGTAATTAGTACATTATGTCTCCATCTTTTACTATTTTTCTAATCTTTAACTTCTATTTTTTGATATTTTTATCATTAATTACACATTTAATTGTAAAAAAATTATTTTCATCTAATTTCTCAATTAAAAAACGGTTAAATGACGAATACACCCTCATTTTAAATAAAACAAAAATAATAAGATAATTGCACCTATAATTGATTTTTTTTTTTAAAAAACGAAAATGAATTCCAAAAAAATTATCAAAAGATTCTTTAAAAAAATTTCATCTTTCTTTCTTTTTCAGTTTTCTCCTTGTTTAAATTGTATAACTTCATATAGCATTTAATATCTGGATTTGAACATTCAGCACTATGTTTCGGCCCTTTTCGTTTGCATTTTTTTCAAAAAATTTGGGATTATGATTATAATTAGTTCTTTACTGCTCTTTTCTTTTCATTTAGTTTTATTTAAATACCGGGGCATATTCGTAATTTCACAACTTTTTATTGAGAAAAAATTGGATAAAAATGGATTGGAATGATGTTGTGTAATTAAGGTTGAAAATGCTAAAAAAATGGAAGGTACCAACGTTTTCGTAATAATGGTGAAAGATATAGACATTATGTGCTAATTACTCATAATTTCAAGAAGCAAAATATTATGTAATTTTTTTCCAAAGATATTTAGAGCTTGTTTGGTTTAAATTTTAAGCAAATTAAAATCAACTT